GGTGCCGCGGGCCCTCCTACGCATGCCATTGCGGTTTTTGCTGAGCAAAAACGCTGTGAGGACCACGAGGCCCACAGCGGGCCTTAGGGAGTCCAAGGTCAGAAGGATTGGCCATCGCTTCTCTCCTGGGTGCCCCCTCCTCGTCGTGGGGAGTCCCTGAAAGGGTCTCCTCTCCCTCAGCGGGGAAGCCCCCGCGGGGTCCCCTTCCCCCCAGAGGGGAGCCTCGGAGTCACCATACAGAGACTGAAATGGAGGCGGGCGGGGCCCTGCGTGCTGCATCGGGGCGCCCGCCCGTGGCCCTGGGTAAGGCTCGGAGTTTGTGACGTCTCCCTGAGATCGCTCCCGAACCTGGATGCAGCAGCCCGCCTCCAGTCCGGACAACCTCGTTCATGCACACGGCGCATCGGGGCCACTGGGCCATAAACCATTTGAAGCGACGCAACAACAGGGGGTCGATTGCGCCGACATTGGCGCGGAAGCTGCTCGCGTAAGGTCGCGCGTAAGCGCCCTCGTTTTCAATGTAGCGTGCCGCGCTGGCGGCCCGCGTAAGCCGACGCGTAAGGTTGCTATGCTCGGAGGTTGATAGACCTCTTGCCGTAACACGTCGATTAGCGAATTGGCCGTGCTCGGCTCGCGAGAAGGCGTCGTGGCCGTCATTTCTGCGGATCCAGGTCCGTCGGTTTCGGTCCCAGGCCGTTTTCCACCGCCGATATGCCATCTCGCGTAAAACCGTTTTCTGATCGTCGCTCATGTAGACTTCGCCGCGGAGCCGCCTGGGCGGGCCGGCCTGCAGGCCGCCGCGCCCCGCTTATGGGCAGCCGTGCCGCTCTCTTGCCGCCGCGCGCCCTGCTCCTGCTTCTCCCCGCGCGTGAGCCACTGGGGAGGGCGAGGCGACGCTGCGTGATCGGGCGAGCCCGCACGCAGCCGCTGCTCCTCCGCCGTGCTCCTCGCCCTCGCTGCCGAGGGCCAGGGGGCCAACCAGGCGGGCCTCCTGCCTCCGTGCGCCCGCTGCTGACCCTCCTCCCACCGGACCAGATGATGCTGTGCCATTCCCCTGGTTGGCCAGCGGTGGCCAAGGGGTGCCCCGGTGGTGTCCCGACGGTGTCCCGTTGCTAAGGCGAAGCAGGCCAAAATGATGCTGTGCCCTCCTCCCAGTTGGCCCGCGGTGGCCCGGGGGTGTCCTGATGGTGTCCTCATGGTGTCCCGATGATGTCCCGATGGTGTCCAGATTGTGTCCCGATGGTGTCTCGACTGTGTCCCGATGGTGTTCCGATTGTGTCCCGATGGTGTCCACATGGTGTCCACATGGTGTCCCGATGGTATCCACATCGTGCCCCGCTGGTGTCCAGTTTGTGTCCCGATGGTGTCCCGACAGAATCCAGATGGTGCCCACATGGTGCCTACATGGTCCCGATGGTGTCCCGATGGTGTCTCGATGGTGTCCCGATAGTATTATGATGGTGTCCCGATGGTGTCTCGACGGTGTTCGGACCCGATGGCGGTCCGATGGTGTCTTGATGGTGTTCCGATGGTGGTCCCATGGTGTCCCCATGGTGCCCCGAAGGTGCCCGCATGGTGTCCCGATAGTGTCCAGATAGTGTCCCGATGCTGTTCCCATGGTATTCTGATGGTGTCCCCATGGTGTTCTGATGGTGTCCAGATGGTGCCCCGATGATGTCCCGATGGTGTCCCGATGGTGCCCCCATGGTGTTCCGATGGTGTCCCGGTGGTGCCCCCATGGTGCTCCGATGGTGCCCTGGTGGTTGCCTCGATTGTTGTCCCGTGAGACTGATATATATATATATATATATATATACACACACGTCGATCGTGAGATCGATGGATATTGAGACTGATCGTGAGGTCGATGGATATATAGTTGATTCGCTTGTGAAATGGATAGTGAGACCGATGCCCTGCTTATCATCAGCATCGTCGCCATGCACCGTTACCATCACACTCGCCATTATGCATCGTCACCCTCATCGTCATCATGCACCGTCACCAGCTCGCCTGCGCATCACCAGCATCGACACTATCACAATCCAGTCATCGCAGTTGTCAGTTGGTGCCCTCCACAACCTCCTGGTCGTAAAGGTACGGATCTGTTTTTCGCCCACGATCCCCCACTTCGAGCTGTTCAATGTAAGGGTGGAAGGTGGGTCGCGAAGTGTAAACCCATAGAAGAAGCAGCACTGCAAGAAGACAAACAGCCAACTCCCTCTCCTCCGACAGGAGGGTGACAGCAGGTGCCGACTATGGTGGATCATGTCCCACCTGCGCTCAGAATATATTATCATCCTCTGTTTTTTTCTCTTCCTACACCTCCTCCTCTACAGTTGCACAATACGAATACTACTCTCCTCTCTCCCCTGGTGGCGTCTGGGGAATGTCCGGCCCCCCTCCGCGTACTGTTTTATTCACACACGGGATTCCTGGGAGTTAGGTTTTCGTTTTTTTGTTGCTGCTCTCGCTGAAGCGCTGGCATCATTTTCGGGCTACCGCTCGTTCCGGGCTCGTTCTGAATCGTGCTTCTGCTGCAGCGTTGGCCTCATTTCCGCGCTTCGCTCTTTCCAAATCGTGCTCTCGCTGCAGCGCTGGCATCATTATTTCCAGCGTCATGCCATGGTGTGATTTCCGGTTCTTCCAAATCGGCCCCCAAATCTAGAAAATGCCCCGCGGACAAAAACCATCAGAAGATGTTTCACATTCGGTGTCGATTCGTTGTTTTTCTTGGCCGCGGAAGCCCCACCCCCCCCTATTTGGGGCGTCGCCACGCCATGCTATGTCAGGCTACGCGTCCTCATTTCCGCGCTTCCACGTTGAGCTTTTTTTCAAAATGCTGCTCTCGCTGAAGCGCTGGCCTCATTTTCGGGCCAGCGGTCGTGCCGAATCGTACTCCCGCTGCAGCGTTGGCCTCATTTCCGCGCTTCCGCTCATTTCGAATCGTGCTCCCGCTGCAGCGCTGGCGTCATTATTTAGAGCGCTTCGCCACGGCGTGGTTTTCGGTCCTTCCAAATAGGCCCCCACATCTAGAAAATGCCCCCCCTCGAAAAAGCATTCTGAAGATTCTTCACATTCGGTGTCGACTCGTTTTTTTGGGGGGCCGCGGAAGCCCTCCCCCCCCCACTTCGGGGCGTCGCCACGCCATGCTATGTCAGGCTACGCGTCCTCATGTCCGCGCTTCCGCGCTGAGCTTTTTGTCACAATGCTTCTCTTGCTGAAGCGCTGGCCTCGTTTTCGGGCCACCGCTCGTTCCGAATCGTGCTCCTGCTGCAGCGTTGGCCTCATTTCCGCGCTTCCGCTCGTTCCGAATCGTGCTCCCGCTGCAGCGCTGGCGTCATTATTTCGAGTGCCATGCCCCGGCATGGTTTTCGGTCCTTCCCGATAGGCTCCAAAATCCAAAATCTGCAAAATCGCGAGAGGCTGGAGTGAGAGACTGGGTAGAGGAGCACGCCCAGAAGAAATGTTTGTGGGCAGGGCACGTTGCCAGAAGGAGCATTTCAACTTGGGTACGCAAGGTGACTGAATGGCGGGATTCTGACTGGACAAAATCGGTAGCAGACTGCGCGTGGCGCGCGCGACGCCCATCGAGAAGAAGGTGGATGAAATGGGAAGATGTTGTCCGGCGTTTCACTGCAGAGAACGACATCGATTCTTGGACTGATCAGGCGCTGGACTGGGATTGGTGGCCATTCAGAGTCGAGAATTTCGTCACCTGGTTCGTGAAGCAATGAGCGGCACGAGCTGCGCTGCGCCCCTCGCGGGCCCCTTCGGGGACGCAGCCACTTCCACTTCCACTTCCACTTCCACTTCCACTTCCACTTCCACTTCCACTTCCTCCCGAAGAAACCATCGGAAGTGATTCCACATTGGGTGTCGACTCGTTCATTTTTTGGGCCGCAGAAGCCCCCACCCCACCTTGGGGCATCGCCACGCCATGCTGTGTCATGCTACGCGTTGGTCTTCGACACCATGTTATGCCATGTAATGCTGTGCCATGCTGCGACATCCGAATGTGCGAATAGAGAGGAGGTCTACGCTGTGGTAAGGGATGGGAGGGAGGGGTAGGACGTCAGATATGACGCGAGCGCACCTAGCTTGGTCCCTACTTCCTCCGCTGACTCCTCCATCTCGTCTCTGCTGTCACCGCTGTCGCTCCTCATTGTTCTCGTCCTCCTCTGGCAGGGGGTTGGGCATGGGCTGCCCAGCGCGGGGTGCCGGGAACCTGGCTCGTGGTTGAGGGCTGATTGCGGCGCGCGTGTGGAGGACCCACAAGGGCCGTCGGGCGGGGTGGCCCGACGGTAGTGCCTATTGAACAGCGTGGGGTGCCCCTCTTCGTCGTCCTCGTCCTCGCCCTTCTCTGCCTCCTCCTCCTCCTCCTCCTTCTCCTCTTCGCGGCTGATATTCGAGCGCCGGTTGTCTCAACCGTGCTTCGCTGTGTAGGGCGAGGTGCACCCTAGCTCTTTTGAGGGGCCTCCTGACACAATGGTGACGGATCGGGTGATCCGATCCATCCGAGCCATGCTTTCCGAGGTCACTACCAGGTACCTGTCTGTCTCCTTCTGCGACACCATCTTCTACGGGGTGGCCATCCGAAGCGGGGCTGCTCAGGGTTGCAGGAGACCTGGGCGCACACAGGGAAACAACAAAAACAACGCTCCTCCTTCTCGTGTATCCCTGCTCCCCCCATCGCTCCCCCCTCCCTTGTGTTCCCTTTGTCCCGTTTATGCCCCCTTCCCCCCATCCTTGGACGGCGGCGGCGGCGGCCGCGGCGGGGGGGATGATGAGCCTTCCTGCTGCCGCTCCATCCTGTCCATGCTGCTGATCGTCCTCGCCTCCTTGCTGCCCAATACAAGCTTTCGCTAATATCAGCTGGGCTACAGTTCAACCGAATAGCCGAATCTACCCCCGAAGCTAAGTCAAAAACCAGCCACGCAGCCAGCGTTACGCTACCCAAGACCAAGCGAACGCAAGTCCATTCCGCAACCATAATGGTTCGAGGCAGCATCTCTGTGGAATTTAGACTGCCAGCATTTTTCGAAATCCCGCCCTGCGACGCAGTCAGTCTTGCCCTGACATGCTGGCGCAGCGCAGGCTGCTCAGCAAGGCTCTCGCCCTGATCCTGGCCGCTTCAGCCTGCCGCCTCGCCTCCCGCGGCGGTGCGGGCCACGCCTTCGCCCCTCCGGTGGCCACACTGGCGGCACCCGCGCGAGCTGTGGCGGGCCGCGCTGGCGCGCAGCGCGACGCAGACGCCATGCTGCTCGAGGATGTGCTCCGCGGCGCGGAGGCGGCCGCTGCCTCGGCCTTCGTTCCCCCCGCGGCCACGCCGGCGGCACCCGCACGGGCTGTAGATGACCGCACTGACGCGGAGCGCGACGCGGACACCATGGCGCTCGAGGATGCGCTCCGCGGCGCGGAGGCGGCCGCCCGAGGCCGGAGGAGCTCCGACCTCGAGCCGCGGCTCGAGTCCGGAGGCAAGTTCGCGGAGGCGGTCCCAGAGACGGCACTGAACCCGCCATGGGCAACCTGCTACGTGGAGGCCCAGCTGACCACCAAGTCTGTCATCGAGGAGTGGGTTATGCGCGGCGAGAGTGAGGTGATCGAGTCGTTCAGCGCTTGGCGCCGCTCGTCCGAGGGTGCCGGGAACATCAAGTGCGTGGACATCTCCACGGAGGACGCTCTGCAGTCCGAGTGCTTGGAGTGTGCGTTGACGTTTGACTTATCCGCGGAGGGCACGTTGTCGTTCGTGACAGGACCCTCGGACTGTATGGAGTCTGCAGCTCGCGGGCACGGCTTCTGCAAGAGTGGCGAGCTCTTGTTGGGATGAGCACCATGCGCATGACTTTGTATGCCTCTTCTCTTGGGCCTGTCGCTGGCTTTCCGGGCGCGCGCGCGTTGTCTTGGAAGCATGTTGGTGCTTTGCGACCATAGGATAAGCACAACACCGTGCCCCAAAGGGGCCCTGTTGGGCCGTCTTTGGGCCTCTTGCGGCTTACGGGGACCAGTTGGGCGCTTCTTGGGCCCTGTCGGTCCGTCTTGGCTCGTGCCAGCAGGAGCGTTCGCTCCATACAACGGACATTTGGCCTGTTGCCCACAGCTTTTCTGCGCGACTCTGTCGACGTGCAGACAACGAACCTCGTCTGCTGTGCAGTGGCTGTTCCTGGTGGTGCCTCGGGTGGGGGTCGTTCCACAGTCGTGGCTCCGTGTTTTTCTCAGTTGCTGCTTGAGGAGACTTCTTGCAGCCAGTTTTTCTTGGTGTTTCACCTCCCCGGGCTTCTGGTGTTGCGATTTTTGCACGACGCGGGCCCCGGAGCTCTTGACCCCATCCTTGGGGCCCTGCTCCGTGAATCGCTGTGAAGACGCCTCGGAGTTCGAAAGCGGCCCCCAAGGTCCCACACTAATGAACAAACAGTGCCCGTCGTGTTTTCTTCGCGACACCTGGAGGTCTGGGGCCTCAGGGTCTGGGAGCCCCGATGTTGGGTCACGTGCCACCCAACAATTTTCACGATGCCGCGCGCTCGTCGAGCGGGTCGGCTGGTCGGCTTTCTGGAGACGGACTGATCGTGCCCTCGAGGGGGGTGGACGCGATCCGAGGCGCGGGGAGGCCAGGGTAGAAGACAGGAGGCGGAAGAGGATATGGAAGAGGATGAGGACGTGGCGAGAGAGAAGGATAAGGAGGAGGAGACAGAAGGGATGAGGAGAAGGCCAGACGAAGAGGGAGAGCAAGAGGAGGAGGAGGGGGAGGAGGAGGAGGAGGAGGAGGAGGAGGAGGAGGAGGAGAAGGGAAAAGGAGAAATGGATGAAGAGGGAGGGGCCTGTAGGAGAAGGAGGAGGACGCCTCGGATGACCTGTCATGCAACCAACTACGGGAGCATGGGCCAATCATGTGGGCCCAGCTCGTTTACCGTGGATTCCCAGGGGAAAAAGTGACGGAAAACCGAGCGGGCCAAAGAAACTCATCAAAACAGTTTGATCGGCTGGCCATTCTTGGGGTTCTTACCCGCCTTGATGGCCTTAATAGCATGCCCCTGCTTATACAGTGTGGGGGGGTGCTGAGAAGGGCCCAGACAGCATCCTCCAAGCTTCGAGTGCCCCGCACGCCCAGCATTAAGCTGGTACGACCCACACAATGTGCAAACCATTGCACCAAGATTCGAGAGAATTCGGTGGCCATCTAACTCTACAATGTCGTCTGCACACTGCTGCTGAGCCCCCGACGGACCAGGAACGACAGGGTCATCGGGTGGGCTGAGATCCTGCGCCAGACCTAGCGCAACGGTGACCGCCTCACTCCTGTAAGGCAATGCACGCTGCAATACAACATCATTGCGAGCCTGGAGCTTTTGTTGCTCCGTGGGCTCACACTTAGCATACTTACTGGTACCCGCAACGAGTTTCAACAAACTGGCTGGGGTCCGAGCCGTGGCCAAACATTTCTTGCACTGCCAGACCCCAGGACTGCGGATGACCACCTCATGCACACGCAATCCTACATGCTGTGCAGGAATCGGGGGGCCACCTAACTTGAGCCTCTCGGGTCTACTGCTGGTGGAGTCCCTGGTGATGAGCTTAGCAGCCGCCCAGGAGAAGAACTTAGCATTCAACTTCTCTTGGCTCAGCCTGGCCTCGAACATTTGGACCGTCGATTTGTGTACAGCGTGCATGTTGGCCCCCTCCCTTGCGAACAAATCCGCCCACATGTTCCCGAGCAGAAATTCAAACGGGAGGGTGCCGAAGTGTACCTCCAGGTAACTCTCGATCGTGATGTGCGCAGGCGTCCAGCAAGCTCTGGGCCGACGCTTGTCGTCAGCTGCATGAAAGATGTGCCTCCAGATATCTGCGTATGTCGAATTCGCATCTTCCTGGTCGTGGTGCCAGGAGTTCACTTCAGCTGCCAGGCTCTGGAGATCTGTCACCAGTAGGTCCACAGCAGGTAAAAGCCTGAGTGCCATGAGGAAAGCCATTCGCTCCGATCTCCCGGCCGTTTGTATCGGACCCTCGAGGGGCCCATATGCAGCACGAACAGGTAGCCCGTTGTCCCCCATGACGACGAATGACCACCCACATCGACGAATCTCAGGCCACGCAGGGGCCAGCCCCGAACCATCAGAGAACACCAACGAGCTCCAGGAACTTCTGTCAGACTCCCAGTCACCCCAGCAGACGTACTGCAACTTGAACTCCACATACGGTGGGATGAGAGGGCTCACTGGTATGCCTACTGCCGTGGCAAGACAATCCCAGTCGGGCTCTCCAAGGGCCTTCTGTCCGAGCTCCCTTAACATATCATATGTGTACTGCATATCAGTGTTCCAGTCGAGATCGGGCTCCTCAGGCAGGTCATCGTAAAAACTAGGACAGCAAAAGAACTCGTGTCCAATGGTCGATTGCTCCGCTGCGCAGTAGATGCAGGCAGGGGAGATCTGGTACCCTTTGGCAGCCAGTCTGGAACGTGACCAAATAGAGTCGGACCAAAGTGCACGAAGCGCGCCTGCAAAACGTGGGTGCCTGACCACTGCCTTCTTAGCACCAATACATCTCCTCATAGCTCTCATCCATACGACCTCATCCCCATAGCATACCTCCTTGTGATGTGTAATTATACGCATGCCTTGCCATCGCTCGATGCCTTGCCTGACCAACTCCAGCACGTCCTTGGGACAGAGCTGAAGGAGGTCAACCGTGTGACCTAGGTCGCTGTAGATCCCCGTGGCGGAATACATGCCCCATCCTATTCTCCTCAACGACATCCATACAACAGCAATGGGCCCCCTTGCCGAGGTCCAAGAGGCCTTAATCTTGAGCCCCTCATCCACCTTCATCCAGGCCCTCTGCAGTCTCCCAAGGCAAACTCTGTTGTCCCAGACGAAGCTGCAGTAGGCCTTCAGGGGGTCCATGGTGGCATTGTATATTGGGTCGTACTTGGCGTCAGCCTGCGTAGCCAGATATACAGTGAGAGAAGAAACTGCCGTCGAACGGCCACATAACATGCCAGCAACAGAGCGTAAACGGGCAAGCTCTTGGTCGCTGACTCCTGATACAGTCGCGCCGTGCGCAGCAGCTGGAAGGAGTCCTGTTCTCCAGATAGCGGTGACTCTGTTGCCAGCCGCCTTCTGGAGCATGATAAGCCTTGGGAGCCTGTCCTGCAAGCCCTTCATCCTAGCCTTAGCTTGTTTCCTCACAGGAACTGGCCCACTAAGTTCATGCCCAAGATTTCGGACCCACTTCTTGCTTTTGAGGTTGATCCTTGAGGCCAACTTGCGGAACCCCTGGTGCCCCTTCCTAGTGTTGGAGACCCAGCCCGATTTCTTGACCTGCAGCAGGAGCCCCAACTTGGCCGAATCCTTGACGGAGCTCTGGATCCCCAAGAACAACTCAGCCGAAGAGGTCCCCGACGGCCCAACCCATTGGAACGTGCTGTCATCCACGAGCGCTCTCGGGGTCACGTTGGGGGCTATCTGGTGCACCTTCATGAGGGCCCTGTAGGTGGGGATGGTGAGGAGGGTGGTGGCGTGGGTGCAGCCCGCGAGGATGCCCTGGTACACCACCACCTGCTTGCTCCAACATCCAAACGCCTTTATAACCCTTGGCTGGGAATACGAGTTGATTCGCATCCATAGTAAACGAAGAGGGAACCCCAGGCACCTGGCTTCATCAAGCAACGCAGGGAACAGCACTGTCTCGAAACATTTCCACATATCGAGAAACACCGTGACTGAACTCTCTCCCAGAGAAGCAGCAATCTCCGCCTCTAGGTTGTGCGCAAACGCGGAATAACTGGAAGAGTGTCCCCTCCTGTTGCCCCAGATGAAAGGGCTCCCATGCTGTACAATCCATGTTCTTGAAATCGGGCGCCTTGCTCGCGCCCACAAACGCACTAAGCTCTCTACTAAAGTGATCAGCCGCGTGCCTCCATCGGGCTTGGCAAGCCTGACCATCTCGTTGACTATTCTCTGTGTCGGCCAGTGCAGCATCCGCTCGCATGCGCGGTACAGTGTGCAGAGCGCCAACAAGCCAGCATCAGAGAGGAAGAAAAATGCGCGAGGGTGCAGCCTCGTCGGCCAAGTGGCCGTCGTCCAAGTGAACGTGAGAGCTGCCCTGGACAAATCATCTGGCCGAAGCGGGGGAAGATCCTCCCATGTATGCGCATCGCTCGGCAATGGTGGCTCACGCTGCCCATGACAGGACCATGCCTCATGCCAGACATCCATTTCCCTGTCGGCCATCTTGCACGGCTGCATTCTGTCAGTGTGCGCCACTGCTGCCTCCAAAGCCTTGACCTTAGACGTGCGATGCGCAGGGCCTGCTCCTTTCTTGAACGCCATGTCGATCCAAGACTTCCAGCTGTCCTCCACCTTCTTTTTATGCTCCTGGTGAACTTCATCCGCACGCTCGACTATGCGGTATATCTGCTGCTCGAAGTCGTCTCTTCCTAGCAAGGCGATGCCATCTAGGAAGAATCTCTGAGTCTCCTCATCCAGGTGACTCCACATGTGGTTCTGCTGCCCCACTATCTTGAGCAAGAAGCGAACTGTGTCCACTAGCGACCGAGCCAATCTGTCAATGGGATTCAGTCTCACTGATGCTCGCTGCTTCCTGGACTGCGTTCTGCCAGGATTCCCTGGATCCTCACGTGGCCTCGAGGCTGACGCAGTCGTCGCGGTCGCCGTAGTAGTACCCGTAGGCCCTCTACCAGGGGCAGAGACATCACTGGTCGTAGTTGCAGTACGCGGCGCCATCGGCCCTCCAGCGATACCACCGCGCGGGGTCACTGAGCTGAGAGCCGCGGGCATGCGCGGATCAGCAGAGGACACGCGCCGCGGGGCAGTCTCGTCCTTCATAGGGCGTAGGCTGCATGACCCACTCGTAGGTGCCCTCTGTGATCTCGATCTGCTGGTGACCGTCATCCAGTTGCCGTCTGCCTCTGATTCCTCTCTCATAGGAGCTGCAGCTGCAGGCGCCAAGGATGGCCGTCTGCTGGTCCAGGGCGAGCTGTAATCAGGAAGGTGAAATTCGCCCGCACGCCTATCATCACGTACAACTTCCTGCACCAATTTGATCCAGAAGGCTCGCACTCTCATGAGATGTTTCGCCCATCTGGCCGCAGCCAGCCAAGCTAAGGCGTTCGGCCCAAGGCCTCCCGCCTCACGCTTGGGGGTCCAGCTTGCTTCGACAAGCTTGGTGTCCCTCGGGCCCGCTCTGCCCCTGTACGGAGCAGCCTCATCGTCAACCACATCGTACCTGTTGAGTATCTCAAATTCCACTCCAGTAATAACTGCGTCCCAAGCCATCTTGAGCGTGTCGTCGTCATGAGCACGTAGAATGGCGTCCATCACATGATCCCAGTTCATAGGATATCGCGAACAACCTTGCTTGGGTAGCTTTGGTAACTGCTTGGGCTCAACAGGGACCCTTAGCCAGATCTTCTTGGGCTCAGCACGAATCGAAAGAACAACAGGTGCATGCGTGGGTAGCCCTGCAGCCGCCAACACATCTGGTGGCTCAATGATAGCGGCCAACTTGGAGTGAACCATAAAATAATCATAAATCTTGCCCTCGGCCGAGTTGGTGGTGCGACATGTGACTTGCGACGGTACCATCATCAACGCATGCGTCTGCGCCACCCACTCCTGTGCTCCAATCAAATTCGCACTCATATTAAAGTCACCTCCAATGACCCAGGGCCGATTTGCTGCATTGAGGCGGCCCACGTATTGCGCCACCTTGTGTAGAATCATAAGGTTGTAGTCATTCAGGTCCACGGAATCCTGCAAGTAAAGGGATATGACCACCAACCCACTCTTGAGGCCCCAGTTGACCTGCGCTGCCACAGCCCGAGAGGGCACAATCTCAGGGTCTTTGAGCAGTGGCGGCGCCGTAATCGTGATAAAACTCGGCGTGATAACTGCAACCCCCGCTGAGAGCCCGTCAGCTGCCGTGCGCTTGGCCGCCGAGAATATGCCGTGGTAGCCCATGCACTTCAGCTTGTACTGCAGGCTGGGCAACATTGATCCATCTGACTTATGCTCTTGAACCAATATCACCGCATCTGTGGCCTGCTCCACATAACGTAGCAAAGGGCCAGCTGCATCAGTATTGACCGTGACGATCTGGCCCTTGATCTTAGAATCGGAATACGTCATCTTAACCAGTAAAGTAAACATCATCATAGCGTGGACTAGCCTCCTTGGCCTAGTAGGCCTGGAAGCCTGGCCCTTTCCTCTGCTTGGCATGCTGCTCCAGCTTGCAGAGACGATTGGCCGCGTCACGCATCTCCTCCAAAGATGTGGGGACCTCCTGACCTGCCTCCGCCAGGTAAGGCCGCAATACGTCTTCGGTTGCTTCCTTGATAGGTACCAGAGGAGCTTCGCCATCAGCAAGTGACTCATTGTCCAGCAGCTCAGGACCTGCATGGTGTCGAGTCGCGCCCACTGGTTGCAACCGAGCATTCGTGATAATCTGAGGCAGTGCTTGAGCCACACCGTGCGCGATGGCGTCAGTCCTGTCTCCAGCTCCAAGTGCGCGCAACACCTCACCCAACTTGGTTGTGTCCAGGCCCAGAGCTTGAACAGTCTGCCCAGCCTCCCCGTCGTCATTAGGTACAGGTGGGACATAGCTCTGGCGCGCCAAGTCAGCGTGCTGGGTCTGGAGCTCGAGCAGTTTGGCCTTCTTGTCCAGCACCTTCTGCTCAGCCTGCCCCAGCACATCCTGGAGCTCCTTGATGACGGCCTTTTGGTCGTCAACATCCTTCTCCGCCTTTGCAATCTGCTTGCCCATGGCCTCAATTTGCTTGCCAACGACGAACATGCGTGAGGCTGCAGGCTTGTGCTTGTTAATTTCATCCTGGAGCTCGCTGCGTTCTTTAGTGAGCGCCTCCTTGAGGACATCCCACGCTGCGCCAACACCTTTACTGGCAACTGCGATCTCCTTATCCAGCTCCAAAATACGTGCACGAAACTTGCCTTCATCGAAATCATTTGCCATAGCCTTAGGCTCCGACACATCCATGGCATCAGGCGCTGGCACGTGCTTGGCCTGGATCTGCTTCTCGAGCTTGGCAATCGTCTCCTGCGCCAATCGCAACTGCTTGGCAACCTCCCACGGTGCCGAGCCAGCGCTAGCGGCCTTCTTGCCTCCAGCCTTGAGACCTCCAGCGTGCACACTCGGGTCTGCGGTGGACATCTTGTAGGCCTTGAAACAACTGCTCTTGGGCCGCCTGCAAGAGAAGCATGATGTACGGTCAGCCTTATTGAAGAATGGTTCACCCGTGCGCTCGTGGATGCAGGTCTTGCACAGCCAAGTCTTGTCGGCGACTGGGCGCGGCACCATCCTGCCGAAACAAAGCACACGAGGATCAGGAACACGATGCACGAGGCTGGACGGCCCCGAGCGAGAAAGGATGCGAGAGACGCGCCGAGGTGGGGCGGACCACCTCGGCGCTCGCCCTGGGGCTGACCAGGGGAAGGACTGCAAACTGGCCGCGGACTAGCGGTATCCACTTGTTCCCCTGCGGAACTAAGCATCTTGAGCCAAAATGGCTACGGAGGAGAAGGAGGAGGAGGAGGAGGAGGAGGAGGAGGAGGAGGAGGAGGAGGAGGAGGAGGAGGAGGAGGAGAGCAAGCGGACAAGGACGGGTTGGCTGGGGCCAGAGATCGGGCAAGATCAGCGCAACATCCACGCGAGTTGGCTTGTCGATGTACCAGGGAGACGTGATGGCAAAAGGAAGGGGAGAAGCCCTGCCGCGGTGGCGCGAAAACGGGTGCAGGTCAGGGGGCGGGCCTTTGCGAAGGCCCCCGGTCTCTTAGCAGGTGTTGGCCGTATGGATTTTGAGTGGCTGATTCCTTCGAAGAAGCGCTCTGCCATCTTGGAGCCCCTCCACCTGGCCCTGCCCCCTCTTGCGCGCTGTCAGCATCCGACGTCGTGAACGAAATAACAGACACGCCTCTTGACCCCATCTTCCTGCAGGACTTCTCGAGCTGGCTTGATCCGTCCGTGAGGGCACGCAGGTCAAAACAACGTAGAATCGACCATGTTTTGTTCTGTCCAACAGGCCTGGCGGTGAGAGTTGTACAAACAGCACATACACAAACATAAGCCGTCGGAGGTCCGCGCGGGTTTATCGGGCCGAACGAAAGGGGGGGATAGGGAAAGGGGGGGGGTACGAAATCTGCTGCATGCAGCTGGTTTCGGCCCCGCTGCCAGGCCCATTTCTCGATACATGGGCGCCTCTCGGCGCCGGGAGGCGCTGGGAAATCAGCTATGTGATCTGATTCTCTACCCTACCCTTTGCTATCCCCCCCTTTCGTTTTCCCCGAGTTTATTTGATCGGCGCCGGACAATCTTGGTGGCGCCTCTGGCGCCGCCTCTGCCTCGCCCCGCGCGCCAGGGAGGGAGGTCCATCGCCGATCCCAGAGGTCCGCGCAGACCTTCGAAGGCTTAAGTGTATGTCCAATGCGTATCCAGACTTCTCTCATGCCAGAGAGATGGAACCGTGGATGGCAAGATAAGCGCGAATTGGACGCTCAGCTGCGAGATACCGCAGGTGTCATGGAGGTCACGGTGCGTCACGTCTATCGCGACTTCAACTCCGATGCTGATGTAGCTTGTTACTGCGTGCTGGACGGGGAAGTCATTGCAATGCTGGCTGACGAGCTGTATTTCCCCCTTGCGGTCAGTTGGGAGCTCTTCACGTAAACCGCGTCGCTCCCCGACCACCTTCCCAGTCCTCACGAATACGGGGCCGCCTCGACCGCTTGCCCGCGTCCCTCCTTGTGGCGCCCTGGACTCCACGGCGTCTGGCCCTGCCCAGCGCGTCTCGCCTGGGCGGAAAGAGTCGACTAGGCGTGCGAGTGATCTTTCGCCGGAGTGACTTTCGGTGCGGGCCAAATGGGGTCCCCCGATCGCCGGACGCGATGCGGTGGTGGCGTCTTGCGCGCTTGTGTTTGGTCCCCCCACGGCCCCCCCAAAGCCCCGCACCATAGGTCACTCTTACCCAGGGTCACTCTTGCGTGTGGCCGAAAGAGGTGGGCCGCTCTCCCTGCGGCCTGCACGCAGGGAGAGTGGCCCTTCGTCGGGGTGACCTCTGGTGCGGGCCCACCGTGGCTCCCCAGACCGCCGAGTGCGGAGTGGCGCGTTCCGGGATGGGCCTCGCCCTCGGCGCGTCTCGCCCCTGGCGGAGGCCAGCGGAAGTAAGACGGCGGCGGGTCCGCCGCGGAAGCTCGTGGAAGGTCGGCGGAAGGCGGCGGAGGTAGAGGCGGACGTCAAAATTTGCTGGTTTCAGGGCTTCCGACATCGGCAATGTGACAGTGGCGGCTTGCGCGCTCGGGTTTGCCTCCCGCTCCCCCAAACAGGCCGCGCACCAAAGGTCATTCTTGCCTAGGGTCGCTCTTGCGTGTAGCCGATCTCCCTTTCCTCCTGGTCCTGCTTCCGCTCCTGTCCGTTGTCGTGCTACCCCCTCCTCGTTCCTACTTCATCTCTGTCGTCTTTGCCTCCACTCTCCTCTTCGTCCTCACCTCGTATGCCGTGGCCATGGCTCAATCTGTCTTGGTGGAGCCTGGCACCTGGCAGTCGCATGGACACCGCTGGCCCGCGGTTTGCTTCCAGTAGCTACTCATCTTTACTGCACTGGCTTGGGAGGCGGCTGCAGTCCATTTTCGATCTGAAGGCACTGGTCCCCCGAGCGAGGCGCTCTCGGGGTGTGCGTCCGTATCACGCCGCGCTAGCAACGAACCGACTCTTGCAAGTTGGCAGCTGGGCATCGGAACGGCTACAGACCGTAGAGTCAACGACGATACCTAGGGTCGCAGCAACGGCGATGATGGACCTACATCGCGCAGTGAGAGCACTTCGAGCCCGAGGTTGGCCCGACGGCGCTGTACGCCATGTTCGTGGAGAAGAGCGCCGTTGCCGCGAAGCTGCCCGATCCACATCTTCGCTTTTGGCCACCAGTGACGCCAGAGAGCCTGGTCCATCGAAGGCGAAGCTGACCCCTGGCATGGTGGCCGCAGTACCCGCTCCGCTGGCCGCAGCGGCGCAATGGTCGAACACTTGGTCAGCCAAACCCGCAGCAGCGGCCACTGCCACCCTCCGAGGGGCGCCCCGAGCTGGAGGCGCGACGCCCCGCCCAAGTCGCCTCTCCGGGCCGCCGCGAGCGGCCGGCGCAGCTGGGGGCCAAGGTTTCGCTCCGCCACGCAGGCAACCGCAGTGGTAGCACAGCGACCTCCCGCGGCCGTCGCCAGAAGGTCGCGTGACTCCTTGCGGCTGGCCGCCGCCGTCCCAGCAGTCCGTCCGCGTTCGCCGCCAGCGTAAGTCACTGCATGCTTTTCAACCGTGATCCGCACGGCCATCTTCCTCCTCGTCGCCAGACGTCGGCCTTCTTTGTGCGTCGCCGCCCTGGCTCGAGCCTGCTACTAACTACCAGCTTCAGCTACCACCTTCAGCTACCAGCTTTCCGTTCCCGTTTCTGCAGCGGCCCCTTCGCCATTGCCGCGTGCTCCTGCTGAAGACGTGTATCCTCGCCAGCCTTCGCTACGACGCCAGCCGTGACACCGCCGCCAGCATGCGCATCTACCGCTGCGAGGGCCAGCACGACTCCCAGTCGGGCTACGACATCCCGCCCACACTGCGGCAGTGCCACGCTCAGCGACAACATATGGTACCTGGCCGCCACCAATCTGGACCTGGGACGTCGTTTATTTGCCGAACAAGGAGTAAACGCTCCAGCCCCTCGCTGGCGAGGACGTCAACGGACCCAACCAGGCGATCCAACACGGCCCCATCCTCACGATCAGCCGCGTGATTTGGAGCGACTTTTTCTCTTCTACGACGACTCCACCCCAAGGGTGCCTTTGTCGTCCCTGGATGAACACAGCTGGCCCGCCCTCTACCCCTCCATCTTCCTATCCGCTCCGTCACCCTACTCTTCCGATGCATGCTGCGTGGCTGCGTGGCTGCGGCGATTCCCAGTCTTAGAGTTCGTTGCGTCATCGCCGCCTGGTCGATGTGATGATGAGGCAGCAATAGCAATCCCCCCCATCGTTCTGGTATCCTCGAAGTGGTTGAGGTGTGGGCTTCGGGCGGGGCTAGCACGAGGATAAATCCGGTTCAGAGCTTTCAATAGCGCTGTCAGAGCGTTCTGGAACGCACTGAGAAGCCCGCGGCGCCCGAGACATCCTCCAGAGCCGCCGGATTTCAGAGATTCTCGATGTATCCTCACCCGATGTTCTCCTCGTCCTGGCTTCGTCTTAGGTGGAGGGGCGGGCTCTTTCGCACCCTCCTTCGGAGGTGCGCCGCGCGCGCGTCGCGTGCGAATTCTGGACCTCCCTGGCCGCCGCCAGGGGGGGGAAGGCAGAGGAGCAATCGGAGGATTATGAGGTGGACGAGAAGGGGGGGGATGCCGAGGATGAGGGGTAGGATCGGCGACTACAAATGGTGTGGTTCCGCCGGGGTGTTGTTTGCGATTGGCGCCGTTTGGGCTTGGAGAGCACGACGCTGTGCTCGTCGGGGCTTCTTCGACGGGCTTCGGGCCGCCGGAGTTAACTAGTCATGCTGCCCCCCTCGGCCCCATGTGGGTCCTCGTGGGTTCCCCTTTCCCCCCTTTCCCTTCGACCCTCCACCCGTACCCTAGCGTGGCTACCATAGCCCTCTGGCTTATGTTGCGCAGTCGCCCTCGTTCGCCCTGAGCCTCTAAATATCTCCTCCTCTCGCCTATCTGCGTCCGTTATGCCGTCCGATGCTGAGACAAGGCTTCTTGGTTTGCCGGGGTTCTCCGTCACCAGATCTAGCTCACTTTGACTCGTGGTGTTTTTTTTTGTGTGCGCCGTTGGCCCTTTTAGTCTCGCTGCATTTGGGAATTCTGCTCGTGCGTGCCCAGCCCTGACTATCCCCGACTGGTCCCGCTGCTGTTTGGTTTGTCGGAGTCTCGTGTTGGTGCGTCGCCAGCCCCAGCTGGACCCGACTTGTCACGACCCGACTAGCACCGAGTGGACGCGTTGTTGTTGCCGACTAGACCGATCGTTTCCTGCTGCTTTATTTTGTAATGATTCTCGGTGGCCAGCCTCGACCCCGCGCTTGCTTGCTAGCGGAAAAGTTGTGTCAGCAAGCCAGCAGATAACATTAGCAGGGTGTGGGTATCCGCTGGTAAGCTGTAACATTGGTCTTCACGTTTTGGGTATCACAATCACATCGGATTGTGCTGTTTGAACAGAGTTCGAGTCGAGGTTACGGTCTGGATTGGCATAGTCTTCCAGCCTTTCAGAGGCGTGTAAGAAAAAGGAACGCCATTCATCAACATCATTGCGATTTTTCGACGCGACCGTGTCCAAAGCAGCTTGATGGTGTAGTGAAGCATGATTATCGCCGTCAGACAGAAACGCAAAGTGATAATCATGCGGTGGTGCGCGCTTAGACGGATGGTTGGGTCTGCCTGGCGTCCAGACGGACAGTCTTTATCGTAGGTTCGGAGAGCGACGCATGTCGCGGAAGCTACGAGCGCGTTTCTTTATCGCTTGGGGCATGACTGGGCGTCATGGCCCCCGCCGCCCCCCCCCTCCCCTATGACGTAACGCCGCCCCCCCCTCCAGTACGCTCCGGGGCACTGCCGCCGTGCGCATCGGGATCCGCATAGGTGTCCTCGTAGGAATCCGCACAGGAGTCTGTTCCGCAGTCGTCGTCGTCGTTGTCGTCGTCATCGCTCTAAAAGCGCGGAATGCGGGAGTGCCATGTTCGTTGAAATCGTATTTGAAATCAAAGCTGAGATGGGCGTGGAAGATCATCTGCATGCTAGCTAACCGGTGGGACGAACAATCGAGGGGAACAGTCGGGTGCCCAATTTGCTCCCAGCTGGGGCAGCTCAGCTGATGGGGAGATGAGCTTGTATCGGAAGCAACACATGTCGGTTGGGATTCTCGGGTGGCAAGAGCATCGAACCAGTCAGCGTGGCAAGAGAGCGAGCAGTATGTTATACAGCACGCGCGGCGCTGAGCGAGGCTTCCGTTTTACAATTCCGCTTCCAGTGGCCTTCGTGCTACAGGCGCGGCTGCCTCCCTTGCAGGGACGCCGGGCGTCTAAGCGATGGCGCAGTTCGTTCGTCCGTTCCAGGCTCTCTGTGCTGCCGCGGCCGCCGCCGCCGCTGGCCGCCGCCGCGCCGCGACCGTTAGTTCGTCGCGTGCTGACGCGGCCGTCGCCGGCCGCCGCCGCAGCCGCTTGTCAGCCCTTGTGCTCAACGCGTGCTTGCCGCAACCGCCGGCCGCCCGACGCGGCCTCCGCCAGGCGGCCACTGAGACCCGTCGTTTTGCGTGGACATCGCGGCGCCTGTCTCCCGCGGCCGCGCGGCCTAGCTTCGCCCCTCGGGCCGCGCGGGGCGAGCAGACGGCGGGCGTGAGAGCGGGCGGGCGCACAGCTCGGCGGCGTGCCGAGGGGGAGGTGAGGAGGGGAGACAGGCCTCCCAAAGGGCGGCAGGGCCCGTTAGGAACCCGCCAGCCTCCTGGGAAGCCCCCTGCGGCTTCGGAGAGGGCTCGGGCAGGTCCTCCGAAGGCCGGAGGCCTTCTGCGCCTCTGAGAAGGCCCGCCCCCTTGGGCGCGCCGCCGAATAGCCAAGGGGGGTCGCGCCGACAGTGGCTGGCGGGCTGCTGGCGCGCGGGAGCGGGAAGGCGGGGCTTGGGCGAGAGAGGCGGCAGGCAGGGGGGGGGGTGCGGTGACGCGGGGGCAGAGTGAAGGCCTTGGGGTAGGTATTGGAGGTAGGCCCTGGGGGGAGGCCTCGGGTAGGCAGGCTTACCCTCTGGGGTCTCTACGCGACGGCGACGCCTTCGACGACGCCGGCGCCGACGACGACGCCCTCGGCGACGGGCTGCGGCAACGACGCCAGCGGCGACGGCGGCGGCGGAGCGCGGCGGCCCGCGCACGGAGGCGGGTGCCTCTGGAGGGAAGCACGGCGACCATGGCCAAGATGCCGCGTGATCTTCTCGATGGCGGTCTTGGTCATGGTCCACGTCGGCCGCCGCCGATTCGCGATAATGATTCACGAAATGACGCTGACCAAGATCGACCGTGACCAGGATTGAAAGGGCGTTTCCGCGTGCAGTTTTGGTCATGGTCTCATGTTCTTCCTTCCGAGGTGTAAAGGAATAGCGAGGAAGGGCAACGCGCTGTGGTCATCGCGGTCCTGCGCAGTTTCGTTCTGGCGCCCGCGCCTGCGCAGTCCAGTTTCGTCCTGGCAGATCTGCTGGCGTGTGGGTGCGTCGGCGTGTGTTCCAGCGAGCCCTCCCGCGCGCGCGTTTTGTCTCCCCTCTCTCCGCCTTCGTCCCTTCGGGCTTTCGCTCTCGTGTCCGCGCCGCAATCTGCTTCGCTGCGCCGCGCCGCCGCCTCACCGCTGCCCGGACCCAGGTGGCCGCCGACAAAACAGTCTCAGAGACCTCTTTGGCGCTCGCAGGGAGGGGGAGGCGGCGGGGCACGGGGATGAGCAGGTCGAATCCGTTTTTCTGTTTTGGGGGGGGGGCTGGGCAAGCCGAGGCTCGCAGCACTGGGCGCCTACCGGGTAAGGTGAGGTGAATGAGCAGCAGGAGGAGGAGGAGGAGAAGGAGGAGGAGGAGGAGGAGAAGCAGGAGTATGGTAGGGGCGTTCGGTAAGGAATGAATGTGCCCAGGATGGTTCAGACCCTGGAGGATTCATGGCCAAGCTTCAATTGGTGTTCCACCGGGCCCTTCATCCAATGCCCTCACCGTAATAGAAGGAGAGTGCGGAGGACAATATTGACCATAGAGGAGGGTTGATAATGACGGAGGAACAGATGGAACATGGTGATAATTGTTCAGTCGGTGTATGGCACGGGGCCTCGCTGGATAGCTCGAGCGAGTTAGTGAGTCCAGCCCGCCCTCACAATCTCTGCCATCACACTGTAAAAGACGTCGGCGCAACTTTGAAAAGTGAGACTTTGCAAGACGGTCCAGTCACTTTGATGTGTTGATTGCGACGCGACGCTAACACGATGCAGGCTTCGCATGCCCGTATGAAGGTGGGGAGGCGATCGCCGCAGTCCAATCCCTCAATCCCCTGGTGTGTGACTTTCCGTCCGATGTCAACGCGGCATTCATCGCCTGCGCGCCAGGACGCGTCGTGGATGGCGGGAGTATCGACACGTCGCGGCTGCCTTGGAACGAGAGTTCGCCTGCGGAGCGGGCACGGGACTCACCGCGTATGGCGCGTGCGCATGGCGCGTTACCTCTTCAGTGCTTCCCACGCGCCGCCTGGCTCCGCTTCTGCTGGGCTCGCGCGGGCAGATCGCGCGCCCTCACACGGATGCATTGGGCCTGATTCTTTGGATGCAGGCCAATCCACTGTCCAATCTCCTCCTTCCCTCCCTTCTCTTGGCCGAGCTATGGGGCGTTTCGCACGCAGCGTCACTCCTGCTTCCCCCCCTCCTCCTCCTCGCCCTCGCCGCCGCTGGCTCTTGGCCGAGCTGGGGGCGCTCCTGTCGCAGCGAACCGTATTATCATCCACGCCATTCAGTCGCAGACTAGTTATCGGGCAGGGCCGCCGCCGTATCCGCCGACCTCCCCGCTGGAGCGGGGTGTGCCCTCAGCCGGCCCTCCCCTCCAGGCCGACCATCCAGCGGAGGACCCAGGGGAGGAGTGGAAGGGGGAGGGAGGGAGAGGGAAAAACAGGGGGAGAGGGGACAGCGAGAAGCAGGGGAAGGGGACGGGGGCGGGAGAGGCAGGGGGAGGAGGAGGCAGAGGGGAAGGAGGAGGAGGCGGAGGAGGAGGAGGAGGAGGAGGAGGAGGAGGGGGTCCTGCCGCCGATCTGGGCTCCGTGCGTCTCTGGCACGCGTACGCGGACCATCCCCGGGCCACCCCGGCAGGCCCAGCGCGGCAGCCAGCACCCCAGACGTCTGATGTCCTGATTTGATTCAAGAGCTGGCGTCTAGAGGTCCTGACCCTTTCCCCAGGGAAGGCTTTTCGTTTTGGGCCGTCTTCTGACCGTCCTGGGGCCCGGCGAGGACCCCTGAAAGCGACGAGAAGCTTCTGCCTTGTTTTTGTTCCACCCTGAGATCAGACGTTGCGAAAAACTAGCAACATCGCAAAACAATCACGACCCGAGTCCGGACCCCAT